CATCTGGCTGATATTTTAGCTCCTCTTGTTGGAAACACACCTCATCACATAAAGAACTCCATTGATTTTGCTAACAAAGTTCAACACTTGAAACTAACCCCAGGAGAAACCCTTGTATCGTATGATGTGACTTCTCTTTTCACACGCATACCCATCTCTGAAGTAGTAGAAACCGTCAGAAAACAACTTCTACAAGACAAGGACTTAATCAACAGGACCAACTTCACACCGGACCAGATCTGCACCCTGTTGGACCTCTGCCTCTCCACCACTTATTTCAAGTTCAATGACAGTTTTTACAGACAGAAGCACGGCTGTGCCATGGGATCTCCAGTGTCACCCATTGTTGCCAATCTCTACATGGAGGAAGTGGAACAGAGAGCCCTACACTCCTATGAGGGAACTAAGCCAAGCCATTGGTTCCGTTATGTGGATGACACCTGGGTCAAAATCCAAGCCAAGGAAATAGAAGCGTTCACCAGATACATTAACTCGGTCGATAACAACATCAAGTTCACCAGAGAGGATGCAAACGACAACAACTTGCCTTTTTTGGACTGTTTGGTTCAGATGGAGAGAGAGGACAGCCTCAACATTGAAGTTTACAGGAAACCAACCCACACAGACCAGTATCTTCTGTTTGACTCCCACCATCCACTGGAACACAAACTCTCTGTCATCAGAACTTTACAACTTCGGGCCGAATGCGTCCCCACAAGGACAGAAGGGAAGGAAAAGGAACTGAAACACGTTCAAGAAGCTCTTCAAACATGTGGATATCCTAACTGGGCTTTTGTCAAGTCAGCGAGGAAATCTACAAAACACACCAATAAACAGAAAAAGGAGAACAACAGACGTAAAAACATTGTCATCCCTTATGTTGCTGGAGTATCAGAGAAATTCAGAAGGATCTTCAACAAACACAACATCCCAGTACATTTCAAATCCAGCAGGACTCTCAGACAGAGGCTGGTCCACCCTAAGGACAAGACACCCATACACAAACAGAGTGGTGTAGTGTATGCGGTCCAGTGCAGCGAGGACTGTCCAGACCTCTACATTGGAGAAACTAAATAGCCTCTTCACAGACGCATGACTCAACACAGGAGAGCCAGCTCCACAGGACAAGACTCAGCAGTTCACCTCCATCTCACAGATAAAGGACACTCTTTTGAGGACCAAAATGTGCACATTTTGGACCGAGAACACAGATGGTTTGAGAGGGGGGTGAAGGAAGCAATTTATGTAAAAAGAGAAAAACCGTCTCTTAACAGAGGAGGAGGCCTCAGATTCCCACTTTCAAAAACATATAATGCAACTTTAAAACAGATTCCCAGCCGGTTTTCACACCTGATGGGAACAGAGGGGCCTCGTCTGTGATTTAGAGGAACAAAGACCTACTGTTTTAGGTTTTAGGTGTGAACTGCCAATCTACATATATGTGTGTGTGTGTGTCTTATGTGTGTGTGTGTCTTATCTCACTCAGCCTTATAACCTGTATCTCTCACTCTCTGCTCTTTGAATTGAGAAAGCTCCTCGGATGAGGAGCGAAACGTCTTCTGTTACAAATAAAGTCCAGTTGTTTTTGTATTGAACGCTTTTTGAATACATACATATGTAGATTGACAAATCACACCTCAGACCTTAACAGTAGGGGTTTCTTAAGGTCTTTGTTAATCTAATTAACAGATGAGGCCCCTCTGTTCCCATCAGGTGTGAAAACCGGCTGGGAATCAGTCTTAAAGTTGCGTTATATGTTTTTGAAAGTTGAAATCTGAGGCCTCCTTCTCTGTTAAGAGACATTTTTTTCTTTTAACATAAATTGCTTCCTTCACCTTTCTCTCAAACCATCCGTGTTCTCGGTCCAAAATGTGCACATTTTGGTCCTCAAAAGAGTGTCCCTTATCTGTGCAGTGGAGGTGAACAGCTGAGTCTTCTCCAGAGGAGCTGGCTCTCCTGTGTTGAGCCATGCATCTGTGAAGAGGCTGTTTAGTTTCTCCAATGTAGAGGTCTGGACAGTCCTCGCTGCACTGGACCGCATAAACTACACCACTCTGTTTGTGTATGGGTGTTTTGTCCATAGGATGGACCAGATTCTGTCTGAGAGTCCTGCTGGGTTTGAAATGTACTGGGATGTTGTGTTTGTTGTTGAAGATCCTTCTGAATTTCTCTGACACTCCAGCAACATAAGGGATGACAATGGTTTTTTTTTTATCTGATGTTGTCCCTTTTCTGTTTATTAGCACGTTTTCTAGATTTCCTCGTTGACTTGACAAAAGCCCAAATAGGATGTCCACGTTTGGAGAGCTTCTTGAATATGTTTCTGTTCTTTTTACTTCCCTTCTGTCTTCGTGGGGACGCGTTCGGCCCGATGCTGTAAAGTTCTGATGACAGAGTTTATGTTCCAGTGGATAGTGAGAGTCAAACAGAAGATACTGGTCTGTGTGGGTTGGTTTTCTGTAAACTTCAATGTTGAGGCTGTCCTCTTTCCAACTGAATCAAACAGTCCAAAAAAAGGCAGCTTGTTGTTTGCATCCTCTCTGGCAAACTTGATGTTGTTATTGACCGAGTTAATGTGTCTGGTGAACGCTTTAATTTCCTTGGCTTGGATTTAGACTCGGGTATCATCCACATATTGGAACCAATGGCTTGGCGTTGTTGCCTCAAAGGAGTTTAGGGCTCTGTTCCACTTACTCCATGTAGAGATTGGCAACAATGGGTGGCACTAGAGATCCCATGGCACAACCGTGCTTCTGTCTGTAAAAACTGTCATTGAACTTGAAAGGAAGATGCACAGTAGTTCTCAACACTTCTGATTACCAGGAAAAAATAACGACAGTACTGAGCGACAGCAACATGTGGAGGACATGTTCTGTATTTGCAGGATATGCATGTGACACTTTAAAGTCTTTGCTGTTATGCCAAGACGCCCAAAAGCACCCCCACCATGAAAAACACTTATACTACAACTATAAACTTTAACCAACATGCAACAAACATGATTACTAAACACTTGAAAGCTTTAATGAACAATAAGACATTGTTTAAAGGCGGATTCAACAGTTTTATATACATTTTTTACAATTCAACTTTATCTGCTATCATGTTTTCCACACAGTAACACGTCTTAAGCTTTGTAAACTTTGTTCTTTGTGAATCTTCAGCATGTAGTGAATATGGGGACAGATTAACTGTACCTTCACTACTAATTAATTATTCTTAAAGCTAGTTCAAGCACAAATAATATTTAATTACAACGGATTCTTTCTTTTTCGAGTTAAATTAATGCCATGTGACGAGATAACTGAGGATTGTTTAATCAGTGACATGAGATGCCATTTTTCTTTGACCCATCAGAATAAATGCAGTCATTTATTTAACAGAATCAAAATTTAACATCAAAATATGTACACATTGATTTGCTGATCTGGTTCTGATTAATGAAAACTTAGCACGCTTTACTAACAAGACAACAGAACATTTCTGAAGGCATCTAGATTACTGGCAAAATAAAAAGTTTAAAGGAAGGAATGGAGAAGTTTAAAGAAAGGTGGATGGAGGAAGATGTATGTTGTTGACCAGAATTAGCACGCTTCTTCCAACACCAGCTCAAACCCCCGGTACACTCGGTGCGTGACGACTCGTTACCTTTGCAGAAGATAAATCAACTGCGGTACAGAGGTCCATTTCAACGCTACCTTTCCAGCTTCTCCGGTCAGGGTGGCTGGGCATTGTCAGAAGTCGTGACGATTTACTCCGTCCAACAGACAAGCTTCCTTCGAAGTTGTAGGGCGTTACGCCCGGGTGAGTTCACAGCGAGGCGCTGTGACTCCGCTGAGATGGACGGACCCACGTCTCACGGTCAAATCCATCAGCTATTGATTGAATCTGAAAGTTCCTTAGGAACACTCAGGAAGACTCCATAGTCAGAGATTCCACTCAGAAGTGGAAGACTCCATGAAAGACTGAAGAAGACTTCGGTCAAAGACTGACTAGTTCCAGGAAGTGTTGACTTTTAAAGAGTCCTCACTTCCGGTCACTTGGTACTTCCTGATTGGTTGAAACAACCAACAGGGGGGTGTTTCAGTGATGTCAGAGGGTTATTAAAAGTCAAGAGAGGCTGAAGGAATGTTTAGGAATGATTAGAACAGACAGAGAAATGTTATGGCGAAGTGAGACAAACGCAGATGCCAGTTGAAGTTATTTACCGTCTGCTAGGTTTAAAAACAAAACACTTCGTTCTAATAACTCGTTTTCTGACTGTCTCTGACTTTCAACCAACATCACTGACTTCTCATTCAGACAGAAGATCAAAATGCATAATTACTTTGTAAATAGACATTTAACTTGATTTCTAATTTAAATGAGGTTTAAAAATCATTAATACCGTTTCACAGTTGATTTAAAATGAGTGGTTCACTTCAACATTTAGAAATGGTATGAACTAACACACTTTGATTATCAAGATATTCTAAAATAGTAATGATAATGAAAAAAGAAGAGTGTTGTTTCAATTGATTAATTCAGGATACAATTAAACAGTCTCTTGATGAGCTAATTTGTATTTCTGGATTCAAATCAATGAAATAACAGTTCTTGTCCCATGAAGGTCTTCAGAGACAGGTTGAGGTCGGAGGCCTAGTTCACTACAAGCATTTTTGCTTGTCTTCTTATGCTACTCATTTTTATCTGCTCTTCTGCTGTGGCCCTTCACCCTTAGCTTTCCAGAGGTTTTAGATGTTGTTCTGCTGCTACCTGTACACGCCATTCAGCAGGTACCATTAGCTTCAGCCACTCTTCTGCTGTCAAAAACAAGGGTTTGGACTGTTGTAAGTTGACACGTTCATATCCAAAAAACTGCTCAATTGTTTTGTCCATTATGCATATATTACAAAAGAAAAGCCTTTTAAGGGGCCTCCACAGATGTGATGCACATCTGCACATAGCAAAAAAAAAATTGTTTTCTTATTATTCTACAGTAAAAACGACACAAACATGGCTTCACCTCAGCGTCTTTATTTTCCCCACATCGTTACAAAAACATCACATTCTGAAAGTGCCTGTGTTTTATTACCAAATTCTGTGGAGGACATGTTCTGTATCAAATAGAGCAACACAGGCGAGCGTAATGGCATCGTTCATGATCCAAGTGTCAGTGCTGCAGCCAACTCTATCATCAGCTGAAAACATCCATTATTTAGGAGGTGATGGGCACTGAGCTAAAACAAAACAGAATGTACATAAAAAGGACAAACCCAAAAATCTCTTCAAGAAACGATAAACTTTAACATGTTGAACCAAAAAACAAAGAAAAAAAAATCTCGCAGGATCAGTAGTTTGATGTCCTCAGCAGAAGAATCTGTTCATCCAGTCTTCTTCCATCTGGACAGACCTACTGCGTGTTCACCTTGTTGGTTGGATTCTTCAATGTTCACACCAATTTTAATAGTTGTTTGTTTCTGTCTTGTTTAATAAAAAACGAGTGTTGTCGGGGTCTTCTTTTAACGATTCGCCCTCATTTTTTCTCCATCCTGTGGGAAAATAAAAACGAGTGTAAGCATGGTCACGAGTGGACTCTTCTGGATTTATGTTATTTATTCACTGTTAGGCAAATCATGCATTTGGATGTGAATCCTAGATTATCTAAAAAAATGTCTATGATGAGGACGATGCAAAACCTTTCTGAACACAAACCACATTACTGAGACACTCGGGTACAACCAGAGCCACGAGTTGTAGACTATGATGGGAGAACTGGTATGGCTTTGGTTGGAATGATGGAGACAGGATGAGTGAAGAGGCAAACCAGGGGGAGGGCAGCAGGTGCACTCGGCATTAAGATGAGTGAACGCCACACAGCCATGCACACTGCCACACATTATGGAAATGCCGTGTGAATGCATCTGAAAGGATGGCCTTACATTCGTTACAAAAGAGGAAGGTTTACCGAAGGCTCCTATACTTTGCCAACCTACTACTTTGCTCTGCAGCAATCCTGAAAGAGGAGTAAAAAGACAGCAAGGTGTGGACAGGGGGGTTAAAAAAGACGCACCAGCTTCAAGCAGAGAAAAGGAACATGTCCTCACAGGGAACATGACATTGGCACGATCTTTAATTGTAATATCCTGTTTGCTTAAAATGTTTAAATGGGCAGCTGTGAAAGGAACGTGAAAGAGACAAACTACGAGGTGACTCCTTCAGTCGGTCAGACAGGATACAAATTGCTCACTCTGGCTACTGAAGAGCTCTTGAAAGTGATGGTGAAGAAATTGCCCACTCAGATTGTCATTTTTGTAGATCTTGTCATGCTACGTGTGTCTCCTTCCATGCATGAGCCCTTCTCCAGGAGGGAGCTTGGTACTAAAATCAGTCTCTGAAGGCCTGCTAAAGAGCTACAGACACTTTTACTCAGGTTTAGGACCAAGAATTACCAAGAGTTCTTAAATCAGCATGGTCCTTGTCACCTGAAAAAGGGCCAGTCTTTCTTTCTTGGGTTAAGGACTCTCTGGGAACTGTTAGTGCTAGACGACATCAAAAGACATACCTCTTCACTGCTTTCTGGGCTAGCATGCGGTTCCCAGCAAGGAAAGTTACACCTCCAATGAATGCCAGGTACTTCATCGTCTGAAACATGTTCAGGTGGGTCCAGTAGACGTACATCAGGCCGAGCATAGCTGAAATGATACGACCAAGAAGGTATGAGAATTCATTTTCACACCATTTATCCTCACGTGCTGGGTTTTGGTCTTTTTTCATTTTAAAACTCCATGTCAGGACATCATCAAAACACGACCTAGTTTTCTCCAAGACCTGAATAATACCACCAATTTATTTCAACAACAGTCTGTGAACATTTAGGAACTGAAGCCAGTTCAGCACCTGAACTCTTCTTCTACGAAGTTGTGCTGTTGTAAGAGGTCAATGCAAGGCCTTCCCTGAGACAGATGAGATAATGTGAAGTTCTAAAAGCTGTATGTACGTCTCTGCATTGATGGTCTTTCCAGAAGTCTAAGCTGCCCATAGCAGAGGCACCACTTAATCAAAGATGTGCACTCAACCAAATGGTCCCTCTCCACTTTAGTTTGGAGGACTTGCAGTTTGTGGCTCAACATTTGTTGCATCTAGACTGGACTATTGCAATGGTTTATTATATGGGTGTCCAAATACTTCTTTAAAATATCTTCAGTTGATCCAAAATGCTGCTGCCAGAGTCTAAATGAGAGTTGATAGAGATCATATCTCTCCAGTTTTAGCTCCTCATTCATTCAACCTTTATTTATACAGGTTAGTCACGTTCTCATGTAAAAAGAGATCCGTTTTAAACAAACACAGATGAGGTACACACAACTCAATAGATTCAAAATTATTACTTCGAACCTACAAAGATCTCAACAACCTAGCTCCATCTTATATTACAAATCTTTTGTTCCATATTTTCCTAACAGAGCACTTAACTCTCAGACTGCAGGTTTATTTGTGGTTCCTAAAGTTTACAGAAGAAGAATGGGAGGAAGATATTTCAGTTATCAGGCTCCTCTCTGGTGGAACCACCTTCCAGTTTCTGTCCATGATACTGACACATTGTTCAATTTTAAAACTGGACTTAAGACTTTCCTTTCTGATAAATCCTATAGTTAGTGTTGGTTTGGATTTCCTGACCTATCCCTTATCCTATGCTGCTATAGGCTTAGACTGCTGGAAGACAAATTGACCTAATTTCATCAGATGGTTACAAATTAATAGTTTGTATTTATAATTATTTCTATATTTTTGTTCTTATTTTATTTTTTTGTCTTTCCTCCTATAGGAAGACCTGCTCGCCTCCATTCTGGACCTGCCATTCTGTGTCTGTTCCTCCTTCCTGTCCTCTCAAACTCGGCCGGTCAAAGCAGATGGACGCTTGTCTTGAGCTTGGTTCTGCTGGAGGTTTCTTCCTGTTAAAGGGAGTTTTCCCTTTCCACTGTCTCCTTTGTGTTTGCTCAGGATGGGAGACTGTGATGAAGTGAAGAGTCAATGAGTCTGCTGCTTCCTTAGATGGAGAACTTCACTAATAGACTTTTTAATGTATATGAATATTTCTGTTCAGTGTCCTGAGATGACTTCTAATGTGACTTGGCGTTATATAAATAAACTGAATTGAATTGATTTCCAAAGAAAATTTCTAACTTGGATTAGTCTGACGACAGAACAGTTTGGCCCAAAGCTCATTTGAAATGGCCTGAGGCAGAGAAGATGGGGCGTTTCTTGGTGTTGAAGCTTTAGCCAGCACTTGTTGTCGGCACGATGGACTGTTTACAAACGATTTGTGGAAGAGCTCCTGAGCCGGTGCAGTGATGTCCAGAACAGAAGCAGACTTGTTTTAATGCAGTTTCAGCCTTGGCCTTTGAGCTCACATTTCTACACATTCTTGAAAGGTTTAGATAATTTATGATCATCATCACTGAACTTTATTTGTCTGAAATAGAGCCACTATTATTAGACAGTTTCTCACAGACAGGTGAGCCTCTGCCTATCCAGACTATCTAAATTGTTCTTTTATACTCAGTTCTCTTATGGATCTGTTGACAATTAACGCATTCAGTTGCTAAATGATCCTCCACCTGTCTCCTCATCATACCACCTACTGTTACAACCTTTTGTTGTCCATGTCCCAACATTCTGAGATGGATTAACATAAAACTCTAAATTATCTTATTTTAAAACAAACTGTACAAGTTCTTGAACATTTGATAAGTTCATTATATTCTATTGTGAATAACAATATTTTATTGTATCTGGGACCATTACATCTAGTTTTTTAATTGAAACGTTACAAAACATCCCAACCTTCTTTAGTTTTTGTATTTCAACTTAGTTTTGGTTAAACAACGGAACGTCATGTTTAATTAACATTTGTGTTTTTCTGATTGTATGGTTTTGTGACAAGAAGGTTTTTGCTGTTAGTACCATAATCCTTGAAAAGGAAAAATAAATATTAAAAAGGTGTATTTTCTTTGTCATGTCCATCTTTGAACGGGTTCAAATGTGATTATGCACAACATTACTCATGCTCAAAGTAATTTACTCAACCTGAACAACAGGCGATGAACAAAAGCAGCTGTAACACAATCACATCTGTAATAAGCAGAGTGATTTAACCGTGGGCACTAACCTGCATGTCCCAAATGGAAGAGAATAGTGCTCGGAGAAAAGCTGAAATTGGAGATGTTGGCTCCGAGCTTAAACCACTAGAGAAGAGAATGGAAATCAAACAATGATTAGGGCTTTTTTATGACAGAGCTGAAAACAAAAAAGCTGAAAAATAACACACTCAACAGTGGAAAAGAAAATACTCCACATCCTTTGTGATTTCAAATTAAAGTATGTTTATGTTGGACAGTGTTGCTGACCAGATCTCCACTGAAAAGCTTTTCTAAAGTGGGTTAAGAAAAACAGCTGCATATAAAACCAGTGCTACACATAAATGTTGTACTGGTAACAGTTTGGATGAGAACAGAATCTGGTTGTGATCTATAGAGAAATGTATTTACCTTCACAGCTAGGGCTGAGTACCGAACGGAGGTTCTTTTATGGCACCGACCGAACTGCACCGGTCGGTGTATGTATTGAAACGTCACTCTTTTTTCGGTGTCAAGTTTCGGTATTGGTTGTAAGGTGTCACGTGGTTTCAGCATGCAGGCAGGCAAAACACCAGACATATGACAAACAGACTACGTGTTTACACCCAAAGCTGTATAGAGCTGCCGCACCTATTCTATGTACAATGTATGTCTATGTGCTGGTGACACCGCCCACAGACTGGGTTCACGTGTGCAGCGCGTGTGGTGTCGAACGGCTCCGACAACACACGTGCAGAAAGTTGCTCCGTGTTTCTCTGCAAGAAGAGAGACTGACGACAGCCTCCTCCCCCCTCCTCCTCTCAGCGTGTCAGTCTGTGTGTGTGTGTGTGTGTGTGTGTGTGTGTGTGTGTGTGTGTGTGTGTGTGTGTGTGTGTGAAACGGACTGAATCAACATTCCACAGCCGGACTTGTCTTCATCAAAGAACTCCGAGGACAGAGCTGTGTCTGTTACAGCTGGTGAGATTACGTCTGTTAACCTGACTGAAAAATGTTGGATTTTATATCTGGATTATTGAGCATGGACTTTGTTAAGTTTGTTAACACGTACATCGCGGTAAAACAACGCTAACTTTAACATATTTAGAATTGCGCCGCTCAAGGTGGCAATGTTGCATGTTGGAGCAGCTCTGTTGCATTCATTTTGAGATTTTGCTTTTGGAAACTTTAATTCCTCTTTTTCTGGATGTAAATCACATTTTTTGGATGGTTGTTTCCTCTGGTATCAGATGCTGTGCAGCTGGAAGGATTTTTACTGAAACTTTTTTATTTTTGGACATTTGTTATGATGCGTAACTATGGCAACAAGGCTGTTCTCTACAACCAACAGCAGCTGATTAACATCTCAAAAGCTCAAATAATATCTCAACTACAGCCTCAAATCTCAAGTGAGTTGAAAAGGATGTTCTGTGGACGCATTCTCATCTACCTGCCAGCTGTGCTCGAGTGCCTGATCACTGAGATCCTGGAACTAGCAGGAAACACGGCTCGTGACAGCGGAAGGACAGGATCGTCCCTCGGCACCTACAGTTGGCTGTCCGCAGTGACGAGGAGCTCGGCAGACTGCTGGGAGGAGTGGCCATCGCTCTGGGAGGAGTTTTGCCCAGCATTTGGGCAGTCCTACAGCACGAGGGGAACCGAGATGCCAGCCGAGTCTGGGTGGACGGATCAGACGGCATCTGCAGCCAGTTTCTTAGGATCCACTGTGGGATGGAACTTTACAAGAGATCCTTCCTGTTTACAGCCATCAGTGTCTATAACATATCTTAATGAAATGAGGATAATGAGTTACAACAACAAATAATTTCCCTCTGGGATTAATAAAGTATTTTTGAATTGAATTGAATTTTTAGTGTGTGAAGGTCAGCTTGCTGTACCTTCACTACTAATTATTTAAATATGACGGTTCTTTCTTTTTCAAGTTAAATTTCTGCCATGTGACCAAGATAACTGTGAGTGGAGTGTTTAAATCAGTGACATGAGACGTTAATTTCCTTTGACCCATCAGAATAAATGTGGTCATTTATTTAACAGAATCAAAATTTAACATCAAAACATGTACACGTGATTAGCTGATCTGGTTCTGATTAATAAAACTTGGCACGCTTTACTAATAAGACAACAAGACATTTCTGAAGGCATCTAGATTACTGGCAAAATAGAAGAGCTGAAAGAAAGGATTGAAGGAGTTTAAAAGGAAGATGGATGAGGGAAGATGTATGTTTGTTGACCAGGATTAGCGCGCTTCTTTCAACACCAGCTCAAACCCCCGGTCCACTTAGTGCGCGACAACTCGTGACGTCTCTTTACCTTTGCAGATGATGGATCAGTTCCGGTCTAGATGTCCCTATGCACGCTACCTTTATAGCATCTCCGGTCAGGGTGACTGGTCATCGTCAGAAGTTGTGTGGTTTACTCCGTTCAACAGAACAAGCTTCCTTCGAACTTGGAGGCATTACACCCGGGTGGATTCACAGCCAGTTGCTGTGAGTCCGTCAGAGTTTCCACTCAGGAGTGGAAGACTCCATCAAAGACTGAGTTCAACTCAGTAGACTGCAGAAAACTCAGTAGACTAGACTGGCTAGACTAGACTAGACTCGACTGAGTAGTTCCAGGAAGTGTGGACTTTTAAAGAGTTCTCACTTCCGGTCACTCAGGACTTCCTGATTGGTTGAAACAAACAACAGGGGGTGTGTTTCAGTGATGTCAGAGGGTTATTAAACAGACAGCAGGAATGTTTAGGAACGTTTAGTACAGACAGAGAAATGTTTTGAAGGAGTGAGAGGAACGCAGATGCCAGTGTTTCTCTTTTTACCGTCTGCTAGGTTTACAAACAACAAGGCCTGTTCTAATAACTTCCCTCTGACTGTCTCCGACTTTTGACTGACATCACTACTTCTCCTTTAGATAGAAAATCTAAATGCATAATTACTTTGTAAATAGACATTTACTGTAACTTGATTTCTAATTTAAATGAGGATTAAAAAAATTATTAATACTGTTCCACAGTTGATTTAAAATGAGTGGTTCACTTCAACATTTAGAAATGGTATGAACTAAACACACTTTGATTATCAAGATATTGTAAAATAGTAATATAATATAAAAAGAAGAGTGTTCTTTCAATTGATTACTTCAGGATACAATTAGACAGTCTCTGGATGAGCTAATTTGTATTTCTGGATTCAAATCAATGAAATAACAGTTCCTGTCCCATGAAGGTCTTCAGAGGCAGGTTTTGGTCGGAGGCCGAGTTCACTACAGTCCCCCCTTTGGAAATCATCGCCTGTCCATGGGGATGAATTCCAACATGAACTTGCGCCTCCAAATGTCCTTGAGCTTGATGTAATCCAGCAAGAGGAAAACAAAAGTCAAAGAAGGTAATCCCACAACGGTTTAGGTAATTCCACAATGTTGTTGGTAATTCCATAATGTTGTTGGTAATTCCATTGTAGCAATGCTTTAACCCCTTGGAAACAAAGTCTGTAATCCATTGGAAAAAGTCATATAATCCACAACGATTGGAGGTGTTGATTGATCAGCATGCAGAGGGGTTCCCTCGATTGAACTGCAGAGGTGACCACTGGATATAGATTGGAGACCCACGTTGGAGTTGTAGGTTCCTTCAGCAAAGGTTGCTGCTTGTGGTTCCCAGTGGGTGCCATTCTGGTTCTATGTGTTATGCATGTATGTGGTTTTAGTTGGGCTTATGAGTGGGACTTTACATAAGACCTTATCCTATATGCACCTGGTGTGTAAGCTATCATGGTTTAGATCAGCTACAGTTACCAGTTTAAAGGGTGGGTCATGCTGAAAAATTTATGTATAGGGATTTATACCTATAGAAGGGCATTCCAAACTATTTTTCCATTCCTAACTTGGTTTAAGTTAGATTTACATGGCAAAATATAGTTTGGTTCAATCGTCTGTTGTCCTTTTAGACGAACGACTTGAGGTTTGGTTTTTGGTTTTCCCCTAAATGTTTTTGGAGTCTATGGCGAGACTCAACTGAAGGATTAGCATGTTGGAGGTAAATAAACTGTAAAAGATGTTGTTGACCATTTAAGCTTTTATCTCTCAGCCTAGATGATGTTTTTTGAGCAATAATAACACAACCATGTTATTGTTGATGTTTTGTTCTCATGTCAATTAGGGAGATGATCAGAGCCCTAAACCCCAGAGAACCATAGAGAAGATTCAAGATGCGACACAGAGGTACAGAAGTCTGCATCATCCCTACCTCATTGAATTTAGTGACCTGCTGGTGGAATGTGAGGGACAATATGTCAGTGCTATCAAACTGACAACCAGGTATCTGTGTGTGCAACAATCATCATCTACAGCCTCAGAGTGAACATTTCCTACTGCTGGAGACACCATCAGCCAGGAGCATCTTGTTTGTGTCCACAGAAAACAGACATGTTGATGTTTCTGAAGAAAAACTGTTCAGTGAAAAGACGCATTGCAGCTGTGCACGTTATGTAACACGTCAACGCCCGCACCGGACAGAGAAGATGAAAAGATGCTACTTCTTCTGATCTGTGG